GGTGGAGTCCCCATCCCTGGAGGTGTTTAAAAACCGTGTGGATTTGGTGTTGAGCAACATGGTTTAGGGACTCTGACAGTGCAGGGTGAATGGTTGGACTCAATGATCTTGAAGGTCTCTTCTAACCAGACGATTCTATGACTCTATGATTCCATATGAGTGATGGATAATTAAACATACTTGGGCTACTCTCTACAGCGAGGACACCTCTCACATGACTCTTGTAGGGAGCAGGTATCTTCCCACAGCCAACTGCGGGATTCCTAAGAAAAAAGCCTTTTACTTCGAAAAGAAGAAAAATTCAAGTGCTGACTTCAACACTGATCAAGTCGCGATCACAAAGAAGGATCAGAAATGCAAAAAAAGGAAAGTAACGGTTCATTTATTCAGCATAATTCTTTAAAACTGCGTCCAGTAACCAACAAACTAATCATACACACATGGCCTATCTCGAAGGCAGTATTCACAGATTTTAATCTTCACAAAAAAGGAGTTCTGTACTGCTGCCATCTGTGTTTAGAAAGGAGTTCTTGACCAGGAATTAAAAGCACAAATGAGTAACATCACTGCAGATACTTCAAGTTCCGATACGCTTTTAAAAAGAATGCTATTGTTTTAACATTATGTTTTCCATACATAATAAAGACATCTGTTACTTAAGTGTCTATCTAGCTTCGTGCCTCATACACTCACATCTCTTCAGTCCTGAAGGGAGTCCACCAGCTATTTAACCTTTGAAAGACATCCAGTGCTTGCAGCAGAAGCTGAAACCCAACTGTCTCTCCACTGCTGGTCCCAAGGCTCAATGAACTGTGAGTTGTTTCATGCAAAGGGGAGAGGGCAGATACCCGCTGCCTCTGAAGAGCTCCTTACTCCGGCTGTTTTCTCAAGAGGGCAGTGGGCTGGTTTCCAATCCTTGCTCTGGATCCGGCAGAAGAGCGAGTTCAGCCTGGGTCTTCCAAAATCTGATGACCGCTCTCATGCTCCTTGGGAGAAGGGCTCTCACAGCTGTCATGATGGTATGTTTTGCCTGAGGAACGACTGGCTTTGCTTAGATACCCGGGTTGGTGCCTGAGAACCAAGCATGGAGAGGCACTCCTCTCAGAATTTGTGTTCCTTTCCTTAATATTACATTTATTTGATGCCAGTCAGACCCTCCCATTGGCTATGCTGGCTTCCGTGGATCCTTTTCTGAAAACAGAACAGCTATGACACGCATTCGCTCTCCCTTCAGGCTATGCCATTGACCAGATCCCTAGTCCTAGCTGCTTATCTCCACTGTCAGCTGTGAAACGCATGGAGAAACTCAGGTGAACTCCTTACTTGACTCCAGGTAAAATCAGATGGCTTAATTTATACTCATAATTAAGACACTAATAGCACTAGAACTTTGGAAGGGAGCAGAAATGATGATCCGTCTGGGGAAACTGATCTCTCTCACTGACACAACCACATCAGGAAGTGGGCATATATCTAAGCAAGCCTCATATTCTCCTAAAGTTGAATCCAAGAGCCAAGGGCCCATTTTCAATAAAACATGAAAGTTTCCAATGCCTTTAGGTATCCAGTTGGAGCACATTCCTGAACCTGGTTGACGCTCTGTGGATGTCATTCAGTGTTCAAGCATTCAGAAGGGGATCCTGGTAGTGGGGAGCTGGAAGTCCCTTTGCAGAACAAGTATGAAATGACCAACTCTGACGGGCAGTACAGTGAATTCACTGTGTTTTTAAAACGATGCAAAGGGAAACAGACACACATCAGACTTCAGTCAGGGCTCACAGGTAAGTCCTCCCTTTGTATGATCCCCAGCAGAGACATGCTCTCGCTCTGATGACAATGGTTACCCACAGAGATGAGCTGGCTGACTTGTTGAAATGAGATGCCCAAAATTGGCAGAGGCTTAATCTTTCCTAAAATCCCTTCCGCAAGGCAGGCAGAAGGAAGACACAAGCTCTGGAACTGAACTCAGCAAAAGGTTTGCCGATGACTGAACAGGGAAGAGTAGTAGCCAGGTTTCTCCCAAGGGTACACAGCTTATAGGAGAGGTAACAGGAGCAAGAGCTTATTTGTGCCTTTGAGGACAGCAAGGCAGAGCTCTAAATACTGAGATGAACAGGTTGGTCTATGTGGACCTGTACTAAATAAGAAACATCCAAGCAGTAACAAAATCAATTAACTTGATTCTTCTGAGGAAAAGATGCAGCCTAAGCATTCTGAAGAAGGAATGCAACCTAAGCAACAGATTGTGCCTTTATCATCACGCCTTCTCCATGTCTTTTGGGATTGCATCGGATAAATTGCTTCAGAGAAACAAAAAGACAATGAGGCAGTTATCCTTTAATCTTGGGACTCGGTAAAAATGATTCAATTAAAATAAAACACTAAAAAGATAAGTCATAAGCCCCTCTACTCTGCTCTCATGAGACTCTACCTGCAGTACTGTGTTCAGCTCTGGGGTCCCCAACAGAAGAAGGACACGGAGCTGTTGAAGCAGGTCCAGAGGAGGGCCTCCAAGAAAGCTGGAGAGGGACTTTTTACAAGGGTATATAGTGACAGGGCAAGGGGCAATGGCTTTAAACTGAAAGAGAGGAGATTTAGATTAGATATAAGAAAAAAATTTTTCACTCTGAGGGTGGTGAGGCACTGGAACAGTTTGCCCAGGGAAGCTGTAGATGCCTCATCCCTGGAAGTGTTCAAGGCCAGATTGGATGAGGCTTTGGGCAACCTGGTGTAGTGGAGGGTGTCCCTGTCCATGGCAGGGGGGTTGGAACTAGATGATCTTTAAGGTCCTTTCCAATCCAAACCATTCTATGATTCTATATAACATGGGCACTGCGTGGGACAAACGCACAACCTGCTTTTCCAGACCACAAAACTCACCTATGCCCAGGAACCTGCCATTCTACATAAGCTTAGTCATTGTATGTCTTCAGCCCCACAGAGAAGCGGCTATGCACAGTTAGCTGGAAGCCACACACACGTGCGTGGAGGTAAAAATACAAGAAATAGAGCTCAGTAAAAATTAACTGCCCAGCAATGTCAAGCCAGAATGTACACACTGTGCCACTATTTCTGGCTAAACTGTAACCTTCAGAGAACTGTTGGCTTTGTGGGGGTAATTCAGAGTGGGGAGTGCTCCAGCCTATAGTCATCAGGGGTTTCAGAGCTGCAGGCTCCTATTCAGTCCATTAACATCACAGGTTTCACTACAGCTGCCTTTAGTTAAGGTGGAAGTCAGACTAGATTTTATTGTGTCACTGAACACATCTGTTAGGCTCCGGAAAACTTCAAGGAGAGTTACAGCTTCTTAATTTGTCACTGAGGCAATATTTCTGTCTGGATTTCAGCAAGTCAAGTCAAGTTGCCTGAACTGGACTGCAGGATCCAGTAGACTGCAGCTCATCATTGCAGAATCCATCAAAGGGCTTGGGTATGTTCATTCACACCATACAAGACCTTTTCTCATTGCTAAGTCAAGGACATTACCTTTTCCCTTCTGGTTTTGTCCTCGCTAGT